GGTCAAACGATATACGTCTGAGTGCATATCTAGAAGCCATATGTTGGATAAGCCAATTATTGTCTATGATAGCCACGTTAAAGTCTCCAAGTAGTACAAATGGTCCATTCTTGTATTTGTTCTCATAATTTTGTAACACAGTGTCTATGAATGTCTTGATGTTCCCGGTCGACAGGTTGGGTGCGAGGTACATGGTCATGAGGACGATTCCAGAGTCAAAGAGTTTGATGGCTGCATATTCTCCGCACTAAATCGAACGATTGCCTTCAACCAATGACACGCGCTATATGTGACATCATTCCTATTTTATAAGATCTCACGTCTTTCATCAACTACAAGTACCGCTTTCTAGTTTATAACATCTTGCATCTTTTCATCATCAGCAACAAGTACCACCATCTAGTAAACACTACAAGAACTAAACGAGAGGTGGCTACATACAGGAGACGGTACCGCCATCTAGTGAACACTGCAAGAACTAAACTAGAGGTGGCTACATGGATGGATGGATGCTATGAGCGTCCCCTTTATAACGGGGTGGTGACAAGTATGCCACCAGGCTCGACAAAAAAAAAAACCTTTTTTTTCTTTTTATGTTGGCCTAATGCCTCTACTTCGATAAATTCTATCTTAATGGAAAAAAAGGTAAATTTTCAGCTTAAGTTCTCTGCCATTTACGGCACACTGTCCATATTTTATTTTTCCAATATTTATTTTTGTCCTTTCTCTCTAATTTTCTGCCACCAATACTCTAACCGTCTCTTACTTATTTCAATCGCGGGTGTGTTCAGCTTTCCATTGTTGTCCCTAAAACCCAAGGCTTCCTGTAGGCTCGTGCCCAAACGTACACCTGGGTGGATATCTCCACATTCAATCAGAACATGCTGGGGACGGTACCGCCATCTAGTGAACACTGCAAGAACTAAACTAGAGGTGGCTACATACAGGCTACAGGGGACGCACAGCCCACGCCTTACGGAGCTTCGCCCCTAAAAGTTGAGATTGATGCCAATATCTGTTGTTTGATGCCAATATCTGTTGTTTGGCAATCGAGCGCATGCTTTCTCCATGCCAAACAGGTACTTTACCACTAAGCCATGGCAGTACTTTAAGCGGATGAGAAGGCAGTGCGAATGGGGCTTAGTTGCGCTAGCGCGTTCTACTCATGAAGGTAAAGTTCAAACGTTCTTGCTCGTATCACGATGGCAAGAGTCACAAGTGTTAGTAGCACAAACACCAACAATGTTTTTCTTTTTAAAATATTACGGCTCATTTAGAGCAGCAATTACAATGTTAAAACAATACTCGAAAACAATCACACGACTCAAACTAAAGCACTGATACTTCTGCATGTAATGCTAGGCACTTCTTAAAACCTGCGTATTAGGGAACTACATTTCATGGAAGATGCTCGTTATAACATTGCAAAGTTATTCTACAACTCAGCAAACATTCGTAGGATATTTTTTCAATGAACAGCACATGCGTATTACGAGAAGTAAGCTGCTATCATTATAAGCTTGGAGGACTCTTTTCAATAACTGTCTATTTCCAGTCACAAAGGGAAATGAACAAAGGCGTAATAATCAAAAGCATTCATTCTTATTATCCTGTCATCTTCTGTGTGCTGTTAGTTTAAAGGATCTGTTGTTTCCAAGATGGGAAAAGGAGTAGCATAGAATCCTTCTCATTGCTCTCTTTTACGCCAAAGCCTTTTACCTCGTGAATAGGGTGAAAACTGGACGTATCTTATTGTATCTTCGCATTCTTGGTGAACGTGGGTGTAAGAAGAGTAGGCCAGTGGAAGCACAATTCTGGCTTTTCAACATCTCTGCGGGACGCTATAGACATTGCTTATTTTTGAATGTTGGATGAGCCACACACCCAGTAACAATAAGTAAACCTACTTCCGTAGGTTTCCTAGGCGAAAATAAGTATGTCATTGGACATACGATGGCTTCAACAAAACCGGAAAAAAAAAACCGGACTGTCGTTATATCGATGTGGGTAACGTATGAACACGCTTGAGCGTTCAATTGTTTCGCAATAATTCACGATGCTTTTTTTTTTTCGCTAGGACACATTCGCAACCGCCGAATGGAGGAAACATTTTTTCTCCTATAGAGCCTAAAAAAATAGGTGCGCCTGATTTTCTCCTCAGGAAGTTGCTCCGGCCTGACCCTTGACACAAATCGCTTCCTCGTCACGAATGCAGATTGAGCATGCGAAAACGCGCGCTTTCTTTATGGTACTGGAGCCAAGCTGACAGCGAGTCGCTCGCACGGATGCGCATGTTGAAATAAACCACTCATGTTCCATGCACCCAATAGAACCATGCCCAGCAGAATACCACGCTTACGCAAATACACTACAGCTATAATTTCGAATTCTTCGATCGAATGAGGAGGTTGCAGAGCTCAATCCTTTGTGAAACCATACTACGTCTTTCGTTGTCTTCTGAGGCGCACACAAATTACCTCGCTGCCACTCGGAGTGACATGACGAGGGCTCCGTGTTTTCAGATAAATAGAAGATAAAACGACAACACTAGCCGGCAAAATTTACGAAAATTCGAATTTATCCGATAAGCTCTAAAATAAAAAGGGCATTTTCAATGTTCAAATGGCATTTTACCAGCTGACAATCTTCACGTCAAAGAAGCGTCAGGTCATCACCCGGCAGGAACCTCGTAAAGTATGCTTGCATCTGTAACAACAAGATTTCGGCTGTAATGCTAACAAGCGTGGGTGTTCTGTATCCATGTAGTGGTGCTTGTATACAGTTGGGAGGGGGTTAAAAATTCCCAAACCACGCTGCCATATAAATACATGGGATATGGGCCTGGAAGCTTTTTGACCTCCCACCTCCTGTACATGTGCTTGCGCGTGTGAACCTCCCTAGCGTATATGTACACTTAGGGTGTTCACAATTTTTCAAGTTCAAATATTATTTCATCCAAGATTTCGGAGTATTGAGACTGATAACAATAATAAGTTCTTTATTTTTTATCTAGAATATGAGAGAGGCTCGGAGAAAAAGCTGCGAAGCATCTTGACGCTACTGCTCCGCCCAAAAGTACACTTCGGCGAGTTTAGAGCAGTGCACATTCACAGCCCTATTACAAGCGTATATGAACAAGTGAGAAAAAATGAAAAAATTAGAAAACAGGATTATCAGAAACAATAACACGCATTTTCATTAAAATAAAATGAATAAGAAGACATTTCAACACGATATATTGCAATAATTAACCGCGAACACCAGAGAATCAAAGATTTACTATATAAACTACAATAACCAATCAACTACCTCCAAAAAGGGTAAGCTCGAAAAACACGCTGCCCTAAATATAACATGCCAATTATCAGCAGCATGGATATATCTCTTGATGTCATAGACGTTTGAGATTATAGATTATTCGTTCAAACTCGGCATGACGGTTCTCTACACTCTGTACTTTGCCGCTTAACAGTCCATGGCAATGATGACAAACTGCGTCAAAACATCGTGAAATAATTTGTAATAACTATAAAACTGTCTTACGATGTTCCGCTATCATGTCAATATGTGCTCAAAAATAATTCAGATCACCAGGAAGCGACAAATGTGAGAAATTTCCACGCTGCATTTCTCAATTGCCTAGATACGTAGGTAAATGGGGGCCTTCAACGTGTTTTTGAGTAATCATAAATATGACCTCGCCATTGCATTTGAGTGTCTCACAAAACGCAGGTACAAATTTTTTAGACCTGTAAATTATTAGTGAAATTAGAGGCAATTATCTCAGACATCGAGATCCGCGAATAAAAAAACCACGTTAAGAGAACCAGACACGTAGGATTGGAACACATTCCACTAGCGAACCTGTTTCCAAGCTCAAGAGAAAACCATGCTTGATGGCAGCAATAAGCTTCCTTTTCCCGCACTAACCACCACTTTTCGTTGCAGACCCTTTCAGTTTCTAGTTTTAAAAAGCAGGTCCAGGTGTCACTGTACACGCAACAAGCCAACCAACGGCGTCTCGTCAGTTTGATGTACACGTTGCTAACGATGAAAATGTCGAACTATAGCGCGTTTCGCGGCGATAAATAAGCGGAACTCGATTGGAATATTGGCTGCCGATACTCACTAAGGTGTTACTAATTTCTATGTAGGGAACGTGATTCTTCTGAACTGTGCTCGAAACGCTTTCGTTTTGTTCAGCCACTCATCCATAAGCTATATCCCTCCTCCGCATATTCCACGTACAAATGATGGCCTCACCAACGACTGGACTTAGTACTGCGAATTTCTTGCACGTCTTGAAAATTAATTGTGAAGCATATATTAACTGTTTAAGTGAAGTTATGATGACGATAGATACGTATGAGGTCGTTTTTGGTTATCTTTCTACACACATCTGAAGCAGGAACAACTCAGACTGAGCGCCATCAGAATATCATCACTAGTGGTGCCTGTCATGTTCTTTTTAATTTTCTTTACACTTCTCGACAACAATTCTGATTCAGACGAAGCGTGGCACTTTCACGTCGTGGCACACCGAGGTGACGTGCATTATAGTTCACTAAACCTACACCGGACAACTGAAGTGATGCGCAACTATCACGCTAATGTCTGGCCGAGCTATGCGGGCACTTGGTGAACACCGGATTTGCCCACCCACCTCAACTTTACTAACGGATAGCTGTTAACACCAAATTGCGTACTTTGAAAAGGTTTTGTTCAGAGAAACACAAAGCGAACTCAGCCAAAGCCCTTAGCTTGACAGGTGCGCCAAATACAGCAAGCATATGCCAATGAGTGGACCGTTGGTTCTGGAGGTGACGATGTGCATCAGCAAGTATTCCCGCAGCGCTATTAGTACGAGACAAGAGACTACGCGGGCAGGATTTGATAAAGACACGCGTGGTATGTCTCACACAATTGTACAAGAAATTTTAGAAAGGAAATCAACTAAATAAGCAGCCGACATTCTACGGCAAGGGCGGGGTAGAGAAAAAGAGCGTTGTTTACCGGCGGAAGCTCTCGCAATATTTGGCTACATTTTGGACGAAGTACTCTTCGGTAGAGTGCAGTGAAATATCGGGCCCACATTTTCCTCGAAGCCTTCTCTACAGATTGGCAGTGTTCTCTAACATATTAGAACAGTGTTGAGCTGGGAATGAGCATTTACAAAACCTAATCCTCAAGGCATATGTACTTGTGCACCTGTACCTGAGGCCGAAGGCGTTAAACATGCAAATGTTTCGAAAAATGTACAATATTTTCCAGGGATGCACAAGCCCCACAACATCATGATCGAAAGACAGGACGAATTGTCTGAAGAAACAAAATGTACCTTAACGAATAGCTGAAGCCATCGCAAGAAGCATCACCTCCCATTTGTTGCCCAGGGAACAGTGCATTAGTGCGCCACACCATCTTAGTCGAGATAACGATGACTGGAGCACATTCTCTAATAATTTCTATTCTATTCGTGCTTATCCAACGCGCAGCAAGTCTTCACGGATGCCGCTGTCTTATCCCGCGTGTCTTATATGGAATGGGTTACTTGCTTTATGTATTCTTCGAGTCAATTGGGATTATCGAGGGGAAGGTCAACGTTCGGAGAGATCACTACATACTTGTGTTGCGCGCGTTAAGAAATGTGGAACATGGTTGCTGGAAACGAATATATTTGCAATAGTGGGTGAAATGAAGGATAAATTCGTTTGTAGTCTGAGGAATAATGTCTCGAGCCACGTTAAACATATATTCTCATTTTATTTAGGTAATTTAGCTTGTGGCCCTCTCTCTATTCAATTTTTTTGCGATTTGCCGTGGGGACTAAAGCCATCAGTGAAGAATGTTGAGTGAACTGCAGAGCAAAAACATGGTCAAATCACAGGCTGCTCTTTTCTCCATCTTTAACGCTGTAAGCACTGTCATTTGACTGCACGATTCCAAATTGTAAACCAAGGATTACAACCTACCAAGAACTGAAATAGCGAAACATTAGCGACAGAATGTTCCAGAAAAATTTGAGGGACCTCCTTTCAATTCCCATCAACAAATTTCATCTAGTTGACGATCGAGAGATGTTATGCTATATAATTCATTTTTCTTTTTCCGGTCTCTTTTTCTTTTGTGGGTGGAATCCAGCGTTTCATTTTCAGGTAGAGTAAACACATATAACATTGAACTCGAGAGAATGAAACGCGAAACATGTACTCAGGCGCGCTTAAGGTTTCTTATAACATCCATCACTGAACAAAGAGAGCGAATGCAATAACATGTCTTAGGCTGGATTCTGGGGCGACAATGGTTTTTCCAGCTTTCGACGACGTAGCAGTCTCCCGTGCAAAGCGATGGAAACAGCTGGAACATGCGAATAAGTGGGGTGGAGATGACCTCTTACTAGAAAAATGGAACATAATTTTATAAGCAAAGACAAGTAAATGCCGAGATTATCGCATAAATTGTGATCGTGGCCATTTCTAGCAACTAAGCACGTTTTTTGTGGCTGCGGCACCACTTTCGGTCTGGCGGAATCTGGCATAACACTGGTGCCCAGCTGGAATGGCTCGCACACAAGGCTAAAAAGATGAATCTGGCAACATTTTATTTCATTGTAAAGATCGAAAAGTTAGAAAAACTATATATTTTTTGCTGGCATACTGTGAATCTTCAGGAAGACAAGTTGGCTTAGCGAGTGCGTCCTAAATATTCGTTCAAATGGTTAAGCACAGTAAAATAGAAGAAGAGAGCTTATGAAAAGCACCAGGGATAAACGTGCGCGTCACAAGTGATACAGCGTTCTCCATTATTGAGCGCCCAACTTGCCGCTAGGAAGTGGACAAGAGCAAATATTTGTAGTCTTCGAGATCTCTGGAGGACTCAAAGGTAAGAGATATGTGTCACTCTTAGACTCTGCCCGCTAAGCAGGCACAAACGAGTAAAATACTTTTTCTTGAACCCTAATCACAGTAGCATGTTCCAGCTTCTGTGGTTACGTTTCAAGAGAACATCCACAAATACCTAAAACAGAACTAGCTGCACCAACGCTACACTGAACGAAACAGTATAATGGGCTATGCAGTAATTACGATTGTGAAGTGTCGAGCACATGGTCTGTTTACCTGAATGAGCTATGGTCCTCTTTTCATTAATGCAGTAATTGCTCACGAGCCGTAGGAATGGCAAGCTGTGTTGGTGCAACCAGTCCCAAGCAAAACAAAACATTTACCAAAATGATACCATGCACCAAACATTACAACAGTGCAAGAACGTAACTGAATTTGCACTATCAACAATGCACGGTGTATAACAATTTAAGGCAAGGATTTTCGGGTTGTACCGGTGGTTTCAGTCCCGGATAGTGCGCAAGACTATACCTTTGGCTGCTTCACCACTTGACTACCGTAGATGTGACGAGCCGTAGAGCTTAGTTTCTCGGCTGCGCACTAAAAAAGAGAAGAACATGTAGTGAACAAAGGCAGCACATGCTGCTCCTCCGGGCTAAGGTAAGACCCCGCCGTCCTGATGACACTACGCCACGGTAACACGCTGTAATCCGGGTTGCGTCAGACGTCTTCGTGCGGCGGCGGAGGCACTGCGTGGAAAGGGTGTCGGCCGAGCGGCGGCGGCCGGGACTCGCGTCGTCATGCGGACGACTCCTTGGGCTCGGTGGTCATGCGCTTGGCCATCTCGGAAATCACCTCCTTAAAAATGATGGAGTCAACGTTCTGACCAAGCATATAAATGAGGAACCAGTCTCCGAGGGAGCTCCGGCGCACTATGGTATGCAGGTGGTCCAGGTGCACGATGCGGAAGCGTAGGTTTAGCAGGTACACGCGCACCGGTGGGCAGGCAGTGATGATAACGCGGAACAACACAACCATGCCAGTGACTGCTGCGAGCAGGATGAACCAGAACCAGAGGAATATGTAGATCTTTTCGTTCACAATATTTAGCGGTAATATGCAAATCGCGTCGTGCGTCTCCCGGTTCCCAGACTGGCCAAACTTGAAAAACTGGCACTTTGTGACTCGCGGAAATACTCGGATCATAGGGTCCACCCGTTCCTCGTCGTCCTGGTCCAGGAAGCGGATCACGTCCAGCCCGTAGGTGAGGAACTCGCCGTCAAAGAAGCGGTCCATCAGGAACATCTGGCCCACCACGTTGACGAGCGCGAGCAGCTCGCAGAAGAAGTACCGCGCCGCGTACCAGTCGTGCTGCTTCAGGCTGGACACCAGGTAGTCGACCAGGAGCTTCTTCTTCTGCTTCTTTTCCGCTTCGCCACACATCCCGACGTCCAAATCCATCATGAGCGCTTGAATTTTCCCACCTTCCCAGAACTTCCACAGCCATCGCGGAAGGTAGAACATTGTGGCCTGGAAGAACAGCATGAAGCAGACCCACTGATAGTATCGATGATACTTGTGATCTTTTGTACCGCTGAGCACGTTACTAGAGCTGCCTGGTCCAACACCAGGGTACACTATTGTGTCTAAGTCATGACGCATAAGACTCGTCACACTGTAGGTAGCATGAATCCAACAGTAGGTATTAATGACGCTCTGGGGCACGTCTGTGGACTTGGAGCAGTCAATGGGGTCTCCGACAAACTGCTTGGTGGTGACGACGATGCAGAAAGCGAGCAGCATAATGACCGTGGCCGTGTAGTGTAGGCGAAATACTTCGTTATCAATATGCACGCGGCTTGTCTTCAGGAGCGATTTCAGGCTACGTATGATATCCAGCATGTTGGCAATGTATGGTAGGGGCCACTCGTGTTCCTAACGAACGTAGTACGTTCAAATCGTAACGCAGTTAATCATCCTTCTCGTAGGCTCTAACTTTGTTCCTATTAAAAGTTCGGCGCATGCAGTTTCGCACTGCAACGTTCAACAGAGATATTGGGCTGGCAAATCCAAACTAAACAATGTTCAAATGCAACTGTAGGTAATAACAGGTGGACACTCGTCGACGACTATTCTCTGTAGCCCGTCGTTGCGCCCACTTGTTCTGCCAAATGTTCAAGCACTCTTGGTTCACAGTTGCCGCCGTAGTTCGCTTGCCTGGTCACTCGTCCAGCGCTGCGAGGAACTGGTTGACTAGACGACAATGTCGGGAGGGGCTTGCGAGGCGCGTTGTCGCTAGGCGCAACTTCACGTGGACGCATGTACCCTGTCCCGAAGCGGCGAGCAGGCATCCGCGACGACTCGCATCGAGAGCATGGCCCGGCGCGCCTAAATTTAGGGACCCCAAGCGCGGAGTCTCAGCCGCAACCGCCGATGTCCGAGACCGGGCAAGCAGGGGGAGGGGGGGCCCGCCGTCCCCTTCGAGCGGCGCCCGCGTTCACTCGGAGTCGGCGCGAACTACTCTGGCGCGCACGCTGAACTCTCGAGTTTTCACCCGAGGGAGGAGCTCGCGCCTGACGTCTGAATCACGTGGCGATCTACTACCTCGACTGCGGCGCGCTGCCGCGGGAGAATGCCGAGTTTTGCTGCTTTTTCTGATTTTGTCACTTTCTCTGTTCACCTGGGCGGAGCAGCAGAAACAGTGGCCGCGTCGTGAGCGCAGGACTGGGCTAGAACCAACCACACGCTGAACCAGGAAAAAAAAAATATGCGGCGCAGCACAAGTAAACCAGCTCGTTTATTGACTGTGCGGCTGACGGAGGTACCTGTATCACAGATATATATATATGTATGTATATATATATATATATATATATATATATATATATATATATATATATGTGTGTGTGTGTGTGTGTGTGTGTGTGTGTGTGTGTGTGTGTGTGTGTGTGTGTGTGTGTGTGTGTGTGCGTGCGTGCGTGTGTGTGTGTGTGTGGTGTGTGTGTGTGTGTGTGTGTGTGTGTGTGTGTGTGTGTGTGTGTTTGTCCTCCTACTGATCTCCGTTGCCTTGTCAATGTTGAAAATTCCGGGTTAATGGATGGGGCCCACTGAACTTCGACTAATATAGGAGGCCGACGTTTACCTGCACTTATATGCGTGGTTTTCCAACTGGCAACATGTGCGTAATTATAAATTTGTGAAGCATTTCTTAGCAAACTTCAGTGACTATCAGCGTATCTATCTATCTATCTATCTATATATCTATCTATCTATCTATCTATCTATCTATCTATCTATCTATCAGCCTACGACATTCAGCTCTCCTGGCCGTTTAGACAGTGGTATCAATACCAAAATTGGTATGGCATAACATGACTGTCCGACAAACATAAGTGACTAGTCATAATATGAAAGTCTTGGCATTTATGTTGTGAATGTTATGATTTACATTTCTTAGTCTTGCTGCCCTGGCGGTAGTTTTGTTCACATGACATATTGCAAAACTAGTATGGTATGACATGACTGCATGGCGAACATAAGTGACAGACCATAACGTGGAAATAATGCCATGCATTCCATATAAGTACCTACACGCCAAGCTTATGGTGCGCTCACATTCGTGTCACTGGTGTCACATACACAAAATTGGGTATTACGTAACGCGAATGGACTACGAAAGTAATTGACACATCCAAACATGATAATCATGATATGCGTGCCATGTAAGAAAATGACTACATGTCACGCTCATGATGCGCTCGCGGCCGTTTTGCTAGCTTCGCGCATACCAAATTTGGTATCACATGACGTGAATAGACGACGAAGGCAAAGTGCACGTCCAAACGTGATAATCATGACTTGAGAGTCATGTACGGCATAATTTACATCTGCCTCGTAATGTTGCGCTGATTTTAAAGTCACATATCAACCTTCCTCTTTCGAGCTTCGTATATCATCGATTCCCACTGTACGTGGGATCTTCCAGTTTTATATCTAGTTTGTATTTCATATATCAGGTAACCAGAAATAAACATAAGCACTTGTGAGAGGGGGTTACTACCTGACTACAAAAATAAATTTGCACAAAACTACTAAAAAAATAAAGTTGCGCAAAAATACTAATTTTGCAGAGAAATTCGCACAAAAGAACACAGGAGATGGGATTGAAGTACAGGAAGTAGACAGCGTGGGCGCAGTACTGCACACGTGCTGTCTACTCTTATATGCGTTCCCTCTCCAGCGCAGTTGCATTACCGTTTGAACATCGCACCAATGAAATTTCCGGAGCCCTACACTACGGCGTCTCTCATAATCACATGATGGCCTTGGGACGTAAAAGCCCACATATCAATCAATAAATATCACACTAATGAGCCGCCCAGTGGATCAGAAATATTGTGCAACAATGAGATTTTGCGCATGAGCAGGAAGAGACTCGATTCTTGCAAGTAGGTATGGGAAGTGACGTAACAAGTGAAGACGAAATATACCGGTGTATGTAAAAGGCTACAAAGTTGAAATTACTCGGAACAAGATGCGTCAAGAAACGTTAGAAAATAATTAGACAAACACGTGTAATGCGCAAAATAAATTGATAAAGGGCTTGAGTGGAGAAAATGTGCTGTGAAGGTGTAGAAAAAAATGGAAAATAACATTAACATAAGGACGTGCAAAAGAACAAGCATAGTATGGCTGGACTCTATCGAAATCGGGTTAATCTAATTATCCCATCTATCAAACATGGGGTGCCGCTCAACGTCATCACATTTTTTTTTACTTTTTTACACGGAAGGGCACTTCTCATATGCATTTGGGAGAGCGTGTGCTGTGATTAGGAGAGCACTGATGGAGGCAGTAGAAACTGCCGCTAGCCATCACTAAATTTCCCGCATGATTACTCGTCGTTGCCGCCCAGCCGGCTTGCGGTGTCACCATACGCTTCTATGCTCGTTTTGTTAACGCGATGGATGCATAAAAAAAAAGGAAACTGCCATTTTCCGAAAACCCGGCGATGATGAATACACTCGAACGGCTGCAAAGGAAGCCTTACATCCATGCCGTACACAGCACCCTATAAGCCCGCTGAGTATTATAATTAAAAATAGGGGCGATATTAAGGCCAGAGCATACTAGAGGCTTCGGGCGCCCGACGAGTATCCACAGCTGCACACACAGAGTTTGAATCGATACCAAATTTTCGTCATATAACCGGATCCTCGTTATAACCTTGAATTTCCAACTAAAGCCGCTGAAAATGCAAAATCAAAAAATAACTGCGTATTGCTCTGAATGCGTCTTCCCTACAATATAGTGAGCAGTGTTTTTGAGCTAACTCAAGCGCCTAACTCACACCGACGATGGGTCAATAGAGGGACGGAATAATTTTATTGATATTCAATAGGTCAAGCCAGTTTTTGACCGGGAGAGGGCCGCTCCAACGTTGGTTCTAAAAGATCTAGCCTTTAGGCCACTTCGCTGGCCCGTAGGACCGAACTTGACACCAGTGACTCCCATCGCTTTTTAATGCTGTCCATATTGGGGTGTTCTAGGTTGTGTAGCTCCCACTCCCGCATAATGTGGTGTAGGTTTCGTGTAGCCCCATAGCATGGACACCTGTCCCTGTACGTTGTTGGGTGCACGTTATGTTATGTGAGTGGGTTTTTGTAGGTGACTGCATGGAATCTACGCCAGGCAGGGACCTCCTTCATCATAAGCTGTTGATGAGGGGGGGGGGGATACTACAAGTGACCCCATCTCTGGTAATTCATTGTTCTGGCATACTGGACGTCGATTCATTCCGGGTCATCTGCAGCCAACGAAAGGAGCGCTGGCTTTTGTACACAGCCGCGAGCTGCTCTGTCGACGTGCAGGTGACCCATGAGGCCAGCGTGTACTGGTATCCATATCTTGGTCTTGATGCTGGAGTGATCCTCATCATACATTGGTACTCGAGCAAGAACGTAGGCGTCAGGCACACCCATTCTGCCATGTAGCAAGTCCCTGCAGATCTGCTGGGAGTCTGTCAGTAGCATCAGCAACCTATATGTATGCTGGACTTCGTGGATGGTTTGTGCAATGGCTAGCTCTACGGTTTGTATGGTCTTTTTAGGCGTGAATCGATGCACTAGAAGTAACGTGGTCACTGCGCTCTTTGTAGTTGCCCCAAACATGGTAGGATCTGTGAAATTGGCTGTTGTTTCGAAATTGGTATGTTTTATCTATTTTAGTAGCCTTGCTGTCCTTCTGCGAAAAAATGTAGGATGAGGCCCATGTTGCGTGGAATCGGAGCAACGCTATACATGTCTCGGATGCGACAAGGTTTTTCATCTCGCAGGATCTCAGGGCGGTGGTTGTAGAACACGGAATCCCCAGGTTTATAGGACCTGGCAGCCCGTCGAGTATGCTCAAGCCTCTGTTGCTGTGAGACGCGGAGGCGTTTGGCAAGTTCGCTGACGGTGTTGTGAAGCCATGTGGCCAGCAAATTTTGAGTGGATAGACCTGCGGGAAAGTCTGGTTGGTGGAAAGGCGCATTCTATCATGAAAGCTTACCGACCCTTTATTTGCTTAGTAGCAGCAGCGACTTATCGGAAGGCGATTCAGCATGTGACCGTGTCACGTCAAGCTGAAAGATAGCGAAGCGGAGGCTGCGCGGGCATATGTGCATACTTCGGTGTAGCCACATACTCACCGGCAAGCGGAGATCACTATTGAATGCCAGTCATTAGGTGGTGTCGGCCCGCTTCAGCTCCCATAGCGCGAGATGATAGCATGAGAGGTTGCACGTGATCCTTACTAACAGCAGTAATGCTAACATCCCCTTAGTTCAAAAGAAAGTGGACGTAAGAAAAACAGGCAGATCAGCTTACTGTTTATTTATATGTGTGGTTTAACGCCCCAAAATCACCATATGATTATGAGAGATGCCGCAGTGGAGGGCTCCGAAAATTTCGACGATCTGGATTTCTTCAACGGGCGCATGGGCTACAGCATTCTCACCTGCATCGGAAATGCAGCCACCGCAGCCGGGATTCAATCCTACGACCGGCGGTTCAGCAGCCGAGTACCTTAGTCAATAGATTAACACGGCTGGGTGATCAGCTTACTGTCGATTGTTTACACATTAGTTACAAAAATAATTGGTCATATAATTAGTACAACATGAGAACTCAGTCAATCAAACGATTAATCAAGATTTTGTACAGACTACTCAAGTATGTACCATGCACATTCATACTATCAATCAGATGATAGAGATATGCACAAAATACAACCATCATAGATGGGCGAAATATGACCATCATAAACTACAACAAGGCATTTGATTAAGTGGGAATATCAGCCGTGATGCAGGCATTGCGGAATGAGTGCGTTGATGAGGCATACATAAATATACAGGGGATCCAAAGTCATCATTGTCCTCGATAATGACAGGGA